TAGGATAGTGAACAAGGCATTTGGTATGCTTGTCTTTATTGGCCAGTGCATTGAGGATAGGAGTTGGGAGGTCATGTTGTGGCTGTACAGGACATTGGTTGGGCCACTTTTGGAATACTGCATGCGATTCTGGTCTCCCTGCTATAGGAAGAATGTTGTGAAGCTTGAAAGGGTTCAGAAAAGATTTACAACTTACTGTTAACATTGGAGGGTTTTAGCTATAGGGAAAGGCTGAAAAGGTTGGGGCTATCTTCCCTGGAGCATTGTAGGTTGAGAAGTGACCTTATAGAGGTTTATGAGTTCATAGGGGGCATGGATAGGATAGATAGCCAAGGTCATCTTCCCTGGGGTGGGGGGAGTCCAAAACTAGAGGGCATAGTTTTAAGGTGAGAGGGGAAAGATTTAAAGGGGGGCCTAAGGGACAACTTTTTCACGCAGAATGTAGTGCATGTATGGAATGATCTACCAGAGGAAGTGGTGGATGCTCGTACAATTAGAGGAAACCAACCAGTCCATGCTGACCGTCATCCCAAACTAAACTAGTTCTACTTGCCTGCTCTTGTCTCAAATCTTTCCAAACCTTTCCCATTCGCAAACTTATCCAAATGTCTTTTAAACATTTGATCTGTATCTGCATCCACCACTTCCTCTGGCAGTTCATTCTGCACACATAACGTTTCTCTTGATTCGATGTAGAAGTATCATAGCAATAATTTGGAATTATTTAAATTTATTCCACTGTGATGACACTGTTGTCATTTATGAATATGCATTTCATCAGAGGTGCAAGTTCTTCAAAATAACTTAATTAAAATAGCTGGTAGATTTGTACTTCTAATTAGATATGATTAGGTTATAAATACTATATTTCAATTTGGGATTCAGAGTATCAAGTGTCCTGAAGTAATTTTTTCCCTCGTGACTGATCCTTCAGATCAGTGGAAAAAATTAGAACATGCTGTTTCCATTGTGCTCTAACTCTGGATCAGGAATTCAGCCCTGTGTGGCTGGATTGAATATGGTTGTTCATTTAAGGTTGTGTGCTGACAAGAGAACAACTACATCAGTCTTTTTGGGGAGTTGTAATCATTGAACACTGGCTGGTAATTTAAGCACTTCCCGTACTTTCTGCTTTGTCACATGCTTTAAATTGCCCCACTTAATGCCATTTCGATTTAACTCTGCTTGTTCTTTGGGGACTGTCTTTCCAACTTGGTGTTGCATTTTAGTTTTCTTTATGCAAGAAAACACTTAGTGAACAATGTTTTTGAATGTTGCAAGGAAAAATAGGACACAGTTTTCACTGGATTCAATGGTAAGGGTCAGAAGACTAGTCATCAGTGTCTTTCCTTATATGATTATCAAATTATGCAATGCAGAAGGAAGATGTTTGGTCTATCAAGCTTTCAGTGGTTCTCTGAAATAGATGTCTAACTAAATGTGGTCCCACTCCTGCTCTTTCCCCACAGATGCATTATTTTCTCCTCATTTAATAAGCTATTTCTTTTATATCCATTGTTTTTTCCAGATGATCAGTGTACAAAGAAAACTAACTTTAGCTTTAAGAATTGATTCCTGTGGAAAACTATGATCTACTTAAAGTTGTTTGACTTAAAATCACAATTTCTGGGATCACAGCTTTAGATGAAGGCTTACTGATCACTCTCCACCTTGAGCAAAATGCAGGTAAAACATTGAAAGTATATTTCACAGGTGGAATGGTTAGTTTTATAATTTTGACTGGAGCAGTTTTAAAAGGAGCAGGACTCAAATTTTTGCTGACAAGACAATGCTAGAATTTATTTTATTTCATGTTTCCAACATCTGCAGGATTTTGTCTTTATTATTCAAACTAGATTTCAGATTGATATTAATTTAACTCCAGATATAGATTTTTTTTTTCCCTCTCTCTGCAATGAGCTGAAATACATAAATCATTTTTAAAACGCCAGAGCTGGTTAAGGGATATCATTTTTAACAAGCATGCTTGAGTTTTTTGAGGTAGCAGGGTTCTGTTGAGGTTAATGAGGGTCAGATAATTAATGTTATGTGTATGAATTCCTATAAAGCATTTGATAAATTGCCACATAATAAGCTTGCTAGCAAATTTGGAACCCTTGCTATAACGGGGATTCTTTCCTAGTTGGTTGAGTGCCAAGAAGCAGAGAGTAGTGGTGAATGGTTGTCTTTTCATTGGATTATTTTGATGCATTTTCATGTTTTGCATGTCAGTGTACAGGACACAATTTAAAAATGTGCAGATGATACAAAACCTGAGGTGATGTGAACTAGCACGATAATGGTAGACTTCAGGTGGACATGGTGGGCTTGAGGGCAGATTCAGTCCTGGCTTTTAAATGGGATGGTAATGTCACCAGACTAGTCACCTAGGCTGGTGCTCAGTGGACATGGCGTCAAATCCTGCCATGCAGCGAGTGAAATTTAATTATGATTGTTGTAAAAACCTGTGTAGTTCACTAATATCCTTTAGGGATAAGCAAATGCTTACCTTGTCTACCTAAATGTGACTAGATTCCAGGCAGTGTGGTTAACTCTTAACTGCCTTCTGCAATGACCGAACTCTGCTGTTTTAAAAATTATTTGTGTATTTCAGCTCAATGCAGGTAGAGGAAAAAAGGGTCTATATTTGGAGTCTAAATTCTAGCTTTCATAATAAAGACAAAATGTTGCAGGCATTGGAAATTCGAAACAAAATAAATTCTAGCATTGTCCTCTCAGTAAAAATTGAGCCTTGCTCCTTTTAAACCCATTCCAGTTAAAATTTTAAAACTAACCTTCCACCTGTGACATACACTTGAATGTTTCATCTGCATTTTGCTCAAGGTGGGGAGTGATCAGTAAGCCTTAACCTGAAGCTGTGATCCTGCAAATTGTGAATTTAAATTAAGTGACTTTAAATCGATCATAGTTCTCCGTAGGAGGCTGAGAGGCGATCTTATAGAAGTTTATAAAATAATGAGGGCTATAGACAGAGTTAATGGTAGTTGTCTTTTCCCTAGGATGGGGGATTTCAAGACTAGGGCCTGCATTTTTAAGGTGAGAGGAGAAAGATTTATAAAAGGCATTTGGGGCAAATTTTTTACACAGAGGGTGGTTCACATATGGAATGAACTTCTTGAGGTGGTGGTGGACGTGGGTACAATTACCATGTCCAAAAGACATTTGGATAGTATATGAATAGGAAAGTTTTGGAGGGATATGGCCAGGAGTAGGCAGGTAGGACTGGTTTAGTTTGGGATGATTTTTGGCATGGACTGGTCGGACTGAAGGGTCTGTTCCTGTATGTAGAAATAGAAAAGATAAGAACAGGAGGAGGCTATTTGGCTCTTCAAGCGTGCTCCGCCGTTCTTCCTGATCATGGCTGATCGTCCAACTCAATAACCTAATCCTGCTTTCTCCCCATAACCTTTAATCCCTTTCGCCCCAAGTGCTATATCTAGTTGCCTCTTGAATATATTAAATGTTTTGACATCAACTACTTCCTGTTGTAATGAATTCCACAGGCTCATCATTCTTTGGGTAAAGAAATTTCTCCTCTTCCCCATCCTATACCATCTGCCCTGAATCCTTGAACTGTGACCCCTGGTTGTGGACACACCTACCAGTGGGAACATCCTCCCTGCATCTACCCTGTCCACTCCTGTTAGAATTTTCTAAGCCTCTATGAGATTCTCCCCTCATTCGTCTGAACTCCAGTGAAAACAATCCCAACCTAGTCAATCTCTCCTCATATGCTGTATGACTCTGTTCCTACTCTGATTCCTGATAGCCAGCCAAACTTCTGTCCATGCCACTATGTTAGTTCTTTCACCATAGCATTTATTTTCTGCAATAACTTAAGATGTGGTACCTTATCAGATGCTTTCTGGAAATCTGAGTGCAATACATCCACTGGTTCTCCTTTATCCACAACAGAAGTTACTTCTTTAAAGAACAGCAATAAGTGAGTTAGACATGATTTCCGTTTGACAAAACCATGTTGACTCTGCCTGATTACCTTGAATCTGCTCTGTTATTAATGTCTTTAATAATAACTTGTGACATTTTCCCTATGACAGATGTTAAGCTAATAGGCCTATAGTTTTATGCTTTCTGCCTCCCTCACTTTTTGAATAAGGTAGCTAAGTGAGCTATTTTCCAATCTAGAGGAACTTTGCTTGAATCTCATGGATTTTGGAAAAATTAAAATGAGTGCATCAAGTATCTCATCAGCTACTTTTAAGACCCAAGGAAGAAATCCATCCATCTGAGGGTCATGTCAGCATGTTGTTCTAATAGTCAATGTAGTGCCACTTCCCTGGTAATTGTAATTTTCTTGAGTTCTTCACTTCCTTTCAGTGCTTGATTTTAGTTCTGGTGCAGCATGCCACCTAATGAACGCGTGCAACATAGTAAATGTTCTTGCACTGTAAACTTAAGCAGTTCCTGCGATGATACTTGAACATCGTCTCTGATGAGACTGCACAATATCTGTTTAATTTATCTGCCATCTCTTTATCCTTCATGACTAATTCTGTAGACTAATTTGCTATAGGACCGACCCTTACTTTGTTAATTCTTCTTGAAATGTCTGCTGAAACTTTTTCTATCAGCTTTTAATATTTCTGTAATTAGCAAATAGGTGCTTTCTTGGGGAAAAATATATCCTTAGACTTCTTGGCAGAATATAGGGTGCAAGTTGCAGAATTGTCAATGACAATTGTTCCACGAAATTTAAACATAAGACTTTTGTCAGACTTGATTGACTAAAATCTAGGTATTAGTTATGATAATATTCTGGATTTCTATAATTTTTGTTTGTGGTAGAAAAATTGTCTCTTTTCAGATGTGACATTGTTTTAACAATGCTTCTGCAAGTGTTAACAGTTACTAAATATTCTCATACAAAATGACAAATAATCCCAATTGTAGTATTTATAATTGTTTATTTTATATTGAGGAAAATATGATTGAGTAGTTTTATTGTCATTCCTTTCCAGGTTTTCGCAAAAATGATGAGATGAAGGCGACAGAAGTTTTGCCAATTCTGAAGGAGAAGGTTGCATTCCTTTCGGGTAAACCAAACTAGTTTGAATTTTAAATTTTTTTTTAAAGAATTAACCTCCGCATCCATCTATTGTATGCCACAAGGATCAGTGCTGGGTCCGCTGTTTTTTGTCATTTATATAAATGGTCTGAATGTGAACATAGGAGATATGGTAAGAAAGTTTGCAGATGACGCCAAAATTGGAGATGTAACGGACAGCTAAGAAGGTTGCCTCAGAGTACAATGGGATCTTGATCAGATGGGCCAATGGGCCAAGGAATATTTACATCTTAATTGCAGGAACAGTAATGAGAAATCTGATTAAATTACATTTCAAAAAATTGATTGGGGTAACATTTTTTAAACAAGAAAATGTGGTGCCGTACATGACGTAATTGAATTATTGAATTCGAATGATCTGTTTGCTATGGAATATACCAATCCATGATAAAAAAACTCCATTCTCTGAGCGTTCTGATTATTTGAACGGAATGCTTGCAAATAGCAGGGCATTAGGTGTGACCAGAGTAATAGGAAATGCAGTAAGGCCTGAATAACATTACAGTGCAAGAATGTGAATGCATGGGACATGGTAAATTAGGTTGCATGCTGCACATATACAAAGGCACCAAGGAATATGATGTTGGGGCTGTAATGGAGATTTAGCACAAAGAAGGGCAGGATATGGGTAGAGTGGTAGACGTGATCTATATGGACTTCAGTAAGGTGTTCAACAAGGTCCCTCATGGTAGACTGTTTAGGTTAGACCGCATGAATACAGGGAGAACTAGCCATTTGGATACAGAACTGGCTCAAAGGTAGGAGATGGAAGGTGGTGGTGGAGGATTGCTTTTCAGACTGGAGGCCTGTGACCAGCGGTGTGCCATAAGGATCAGTGCTGGGTCCACTGTTTTTTGTCACTTATATGAATGATTTGAATGTGAACATAGGCGATATGGTTAGTAAGTTTGCAGGTGACGCCAAAATTGGAGATGTAATGGACAGCAAAGAAGGTTACCTGAGAGTACAATGGGATCTTGATCAGATGGGCCAATGGGCCAAGGAGCGGCAGGTGGAGTTGAATGTAGATAAGTGTGAGATGCTGCATTTTGTAAAGGCAAATCAGGGCAGGACTTACACACTTAATGGTAAGATCCTGGGGAGTGTAGCTGAACAAAGTGAGTTTGGAGTGCAGGTTCATAGCTCCTTGAAAGTGGAGTTGCAGGTAGACAGGATAGTGAAGAAAGTATGCTTGCCTTTTCAGTGCATTGAGTATAGGAGTTGGGAGGTCATGTTGCAGCTGTACAGGACATTGGTTAGACCACTTTTGGAATATTGCATGCAATTCTGATATCCCTTCTATAGGAGGATGTTGTGAAGCTTGAAAGGATTCAGAAAAGATTTACAAGGATGTTGCTACGGTGGAAGGTTTGAGCTATAGGGACAGGCTGAATAAGCTGGGGCTGTCTTCCCTGGAGCGTCAGAGGCGAAGGGGTGACCTTATGGAGGTTTACAGATTCATGAGGGGCATGGATAGGGTGAATAGCCATGGTCATTTCCTTAGGGTAGGGGAGTCTAAAACTAGAGGGCATAGGTTTAAGATGAGAGGGGAAGGATTTAAAGAGGACCTAAGGGGCAACAGGAAGTATAATTCCTGGGAATTATAGACCAGTCTGTCTTCTGTGGTGGGCAAATTATTGGAGAGGATTCTGGGAGGTAGTATTTATGATTATTTGGAAAAGCACAATTTGATTAGAAATCGTCAGCATAGATTTGTGAGGGGCAGGTCATGCCTCACAAGCCTTATTGAATTGTTTGAGGATGTGACAAAAAACATTGATGTGGATGTGGTGTATATGGATTTTATCAAGTCATTTGATAAGGTTCTCCATGGTAGGCTCATTCAGAAAGTAAAGAGGCATGGGTTTCAGGGACATTTGGCTGTCTGGATACAAAACTGACTGCCAATAGAAGACAGAGGGTGGTAGTAGATGGAAAATATTCAGCCTGGAGCTCGATGACCAGTGGTGTTCCACAGGGATCTGCTCAGGGACCTTTGCTCTTTGTGATCTTTATAAATGACTTGGATGAGGAAGTGGAAGGTTGAGTTAGTAAGTTTGCCAATGATATGAAAGTTGGTGGAGTTGTGGACAGCGTGGAGGGCTGTTGTAGGTTGCAACAGGACGTTGATAGGATGCAGAGCTGGGCAAAGAAGTGGCAGATGGAATTCAACCCAGAAAAGTGTGAAGTGATTCATTATGGAAGGTCGAATTTGGATGCAGAATAGAGGGTTAATGGCAGGATTCTTGGTAGTGTGGAGGAACAGAGGGATCTTGGGGTCCACGTCCATAGATCCTTCAAAGTTGCTACCCAAGTTGAAAGGGTTGTTAAGAAGGGTGTACGGTGTGTTAGCTTTCATTGGCAGGGGAATTGAGTTTTAGAGCCACGAGGTTATGCTGCAGCTCTATAAGATCCCGGTTAGACCACACTTGGAATATTGTGTTCAGTTCTGGTCACCTCATTATAGGAAGGATGTGGAAGCTTTAGAGAGGATTTACCAGGATGCTGCCTGGACTGGAGGGCAGGTCTTATGAGGAAAGGTTGAGGGAGTTAGGGCTTTTCTCTTTGGAGCGAATGAGGATGAGAGGTGACTTGATAGAAGTGTACAAGATGATGAGAGGCATAGATAACGTGGATAGTCAGAGACTTTTTCCCAGGGTGGAAATGACTATTACGAGGGGGCATAATTGTAAGGTGATTGGAGGAAGGTATAGGCGAGATGTTGGAGGTAGGCTCTTTACACAGAGATTGGTGGGCACATGGAATGTGCTGCCGGCAGTGGTAGTGGAGTCAGATACTTTAGAGACTTTTAAGTGACTCTTGGACAGCCTCATGAAGGACAGTAAAATCTCGGGTCTGCAGGTTAGTTTGATCTTAGTAGGATAATAGATCAGCAAAATATCGTGGGTGAAAGGGCCTGTACTTTGCTGTACTGTTCTATGTTCTGTGTTCTAACTTTTTCACATAGTGTGGTGCATGTGTAGAATGTGTTGCCAGAGGAATTGATGAAAGCTGGTACAGTTACAAGATTTCAAAGGCATCTGGATGGGTTTTTGATTAGAAAGGCTTGCAAATGGTACTAGATTAATTTAGGAAACCTAATCGGCCTGGGCAAGTTGGACCGAAGGATCTGTTTCCATGCTCTAAAGCTCGATGTCTCGATGATGTGTCCACCGCTCTGCCTTCATGAATCCTCTTGGTTGGTTCTTCAAAAAACTCAAGTTCGTGAGTCACGATTTCTCGTGCATAAAGCCATGCTCGCTGTCCCTAATCAGTCCTTGCCTTTCAAAATAGATGTAAATCCTGACCCTCAGGATCTAACGCATCCCCCCGCCAAAAGAAATGATGTTATTGGCTCGCTGGGGTGTGGTTCCCTGGCTTTTCCTTACCATCCTTCCTAAATAGTGGCACCATGTTAGCCAACCTCCAATGTTCTGGCACCTCACCTGCAGTTATTGATGATACAAATATCTCAGCAAGGGGACCAGCAATCACTTCCCTGCTTCCCACAGAGTCTAGGGTACTTCAGATCAGGTTCCGGGTATTTATCCACCGTTGAGTTTTAAGACGTCTCGAACCACCATCCATTGTCATATTTCAAGATGTCACTGTTTATTTCTCCAAGTTCTCTAGCTTCTATATCCTTCTCCACAATAAACACTGATGCAAAATATTCATTTAGTATCTTCCCCCATCTCCTGCAGTTCCACACATAGGCGGCTGTACTGATCTTTAAGGGGCCCTATACTCTTCCTATTTACTCTTTTGTCCTTATAAAATCCCTTTGGATTCTCCTTGACTGTATTTGCCAAAGCTAACTCACGTCTCCGTTTTGCGTTCCTGATTTCTCTCTCAAGCATACTTTTACTGCCCTTATACTCTTCCAGGGATTCAAGTGATCCCTGCTGTCTATACCTAATATGTGCTTTCTTCCTTTTCTTGACCAAAACCTCAAGTGCTGTAGTCGTCCAGCATTCCATACACCTACCAGTCTTACTCTTCACCCTAACAGGATCATACTGTCTCTGGACTCTCGTCATCTTATTTTTAAAGGCACCCCCCACTTTCCAGCTGTCCCTTTACCTGCGAATTCCACCCCACCACAACTTCTGAAAATTCGCCTTCCTCCAACTTAAACTTTAACTTTTAGATCCCGTCTATCCTTTTTCATCACTGTTTTTTGAAATTAGTAGAATTATGGCCCTGAAGTGCTATCCCTTTGACACGTGAGTCTCCTGCCCTGCCTTATTTCCCCAGAGTAGGTCAGTTTTTGTTCCTTTTCTCGTAGCTACATCCACACACTGAATCAGAAACACAGCAGGTCTGAGTTCTGAAGAAGGGTCTTGACTCGAAATGTCGACTTTCGTACTCCTCTGACGCTGCCTGACCTGCTGTGTTCCTCCAGCTCCACACTGTGTTGACTCTGACTCGAGCATCTGCCATTCTTGCTATCTCCGACTGGATCAGAAAGTTTTCTTGCGTTGGTGTTTGCTGTGGAGGGTGTGGACAAGTGGATGGCGACATCTTGCAGAGTGTCAATGTTGCAGGGGAGGGAGCTGCAGAATGTCTTGAATTGCATGGGGGTGGGTGGGTCACTGGGGCCTGGTGAGGTGTGCCCTGGGGCTCTGTGGGGGGTAGGTGGTTGGGGTGGGGGAGGCTGCTGGGCCCCTGGCTGAGATGTTTGTGTCATCGGTGGCTGCGGATGGGGTGCCGGAGGACTGGAGTTAGGTTGGCGTTGTGCCATTATTTGGGGGTGTGGTGGTAGGGAATGTGCCAGGGGACTATAGACTGGTGAGCCTGGCATTGGTGGGGGGCAGGTTGTTGTGGGGAATCTTGAGGGGCATTATTTGCGTGTAATTGGAAAGGCAAGGACTGATTGTGGAGTGGGATGGATAGAGAGGGTTGGTTAAAGTTTTGACGTTTTGACTTCAACCTCAACTACTTCTGTGTGTTAAATCCAACCCATTA